TGTGTGTGTGTGCACGTGCGTGCGTGCGTACGTGTGTGCGGGTGGAGCGATGCCACAGCGGTTAGCGCACCACACCCTGAACCCGGCGTCGAGGCGAGTTACATTCCCGCTCGCACGGCCAACGCCAGTGGCGAGCGGTGTTTGAACTGGTCCTCCCCTAGGTCGACTCGGCCTTATTTGGTCGCGCGCCACGTGAACAACAGCACCGGGCGAAACAAAGGCGGCCGGGCGTCGTGCCGGCCGCCCGCCTCCTCGTGCTCTGGCACTTGCCCCCAATGATCTGCTGAGGCCACGCGGGGGACCTTTGTCTTTGTTTGCAGGCCAGCCACACGGTGATCATGAGCGCGCTGGGGCTGCCCGGGTACCAGTTCAGCACGACCTACGTCGGCAGCTCCGAGTGGGGGCCCAGCGAGGTGGGTGGCGAGCGGAGAGCACAGCCCCCCACGGCCGCGGGGGGGGGTGTGGGGGGGGACGTGGGGGGGGAGATGTGGGGGGGGGACATGGGGGGGTGTGTGTGTGTGTGTATGTGGGTTGTGTGGTTGGGGGTGTGTGTGGGTGTGTGTGGTTGGGGGTGTGTGTGGGTGTGTGTGGGTGTGTGTGGGTGTGTGTGGTTGGGGGTGTGTGTGGGTGGGTGTGGGTGTGTGTGTGTGTGGTTGGGGGTGTGTGTGGGTGTGTGTGTATGTGGGTGTGTGTGAGTTTGTGTGTGTGAGTGTGTGCAGGTGTAGGGAGCGGTAGTGTAGCGGTTAGCGCTACGCTGCGCTACGAAAACCAGCGACCCGGGTTCGATTCCCGCTCACGGCCAACACCGGTGACGATTATTTGAACTGGTCCTGGGCCCTCCCCTAGGTCGACTCAGCCTCAAACGAGTACCTGGTGCGGCGTGTAGTAAACATCGTCACTAGGGAGACAAAGGCGGCCAGGGCGTGGTGCTGGCCACCCACCGCCTCGTGTGCCGTGCCGGCCTTCGTAGGTGCAGCTCGCTAACAGCACTTGCCCCAGCAGTCTGTTGAGGCTACACGGGTGTGGGGGTACCTTTGTCTCTGCAGTGCTACCCGGTGCTGCTGGGGGAGGTGGACAGTTCAGGGAGCCTCAACGCGCAGTGCTCCCACCGGCTGTCCGAGCACATCCGCACCAAGGCCGTCTTCCAGGTGCGAGCATGCGCGCCGAGCCCCGCGGCTCGCTCCCAGGAGGTTCCTGCCAGGGTCCGGCGGCGTCGCCTGCCGTGCGCGAAGTTAGAGCCCGGTTTTTGTTTTTACGTTTCTTCTAAATCTGGCCAACGTGTCTCTGTGTCTCCCCGTGCGTCTCCCCGTGTCTCACGGAATGTCTCCGTGTGTCTGTGTCTCCCCGTGCGTCTCCCCGTGTCTCACGGAATGTCTCCGTGTGTCTGTGTCTCCCCGTGCGTCTCCCCGTGTCTCACTGAATGTCTCCGTGTGTGTGTCTGTGTCTCCCCATGTGTCTCCCCGTGTCTCACCCATGCCGCCGTGTCTCTGTGTGTGTCCTCGTGTCTCTGTGTCTCCCCGTGTGTCTCCCCGTGTCTCACTGAATGTCTCCGTGTGTGTGTCTGTGTCTCCCCATACGTCTCCCCGTGTCTCACTGAATGTCTCCGTGTGTGTGTCTGTGTCTCCCCGTGCGTCTCCCCGTGTCTCACGGAATGTCTCCGTGTGTGTGTCTGTGTCTCCCCATGTGTCTCCCCGTGTGTCTCCCCGTGTGTGTCCCCGTGTGTGTGTCCGTGTGTGTGTCCGTGTGTGTCCCCGTAGACCCAGCAAGATCGCTTCGTGAATTGGCAGCTGGACACGGAGTACAGGGGCGACGACTTCACAGCCACGCTCACGCTGGGACACCCCAACCTCCCCAACACGTCCGGTCGTGACGCCAACGCACCGCCGCTACCGCAAAGCCGCTACGCTAGCCACATCAGCTTGACGCTGGATCTATCGGCCGAATTCGCACGCTGCTACACGATCGCACAAGACAAAGATCCCCTGTGTAGCCCTAATAGATTGTTGTGGCAAGTGCTGTTTGCGAGCACGAGGCCAGCATGGCGCACGAGGGGGTAGGTGGCCAACACCACGCCCGGCCGCCTTTGTCTCCCTAGTGCTGATGTTTAGAAACCACCCCATTGGACTCCTTTAAGGCTGAGTCGACCTAGTGGAGGCCCAGGACCGGTTCAGATATTCGCTGTGATCGGTGTCGGTGGCCGTGAGCGGGAATCGAATTGGGGTCTCTGCCAGGTTCGTAGGGCTGGTGGTGGTGGTGGTGCAGGTGGTGGTGGTGGTGACGGTGGTGGTTTGTGGTGTTGATGACGGTGTTACTGGTGGTGGTGGCGTTGGTGGTGACGGTAGTGACGATGGTGGTGGTGACGGTGGTGGTGGTGGTGACGGTGGTGGTGACGGTGGTGACGGTGGTGGTGGTGGTGACGGTGGTGGTGGTGGTGACGGTGGTGGTGGTGGTGGCGCTGGTGGTGGTGACGGTGGTGGTGGTGGTGGGTGTTGGCAGGCGTGGCAGTGGCGCACTTCCTGCAGAGCGTGTGGGGGGGGCTGGCGCTGGTGGTGGTGGTGACGGTAGTGGTGGTGGTGGTGGTGACGGTGGTGGCGTTGGTGGTGGCGCTGGTGGTGACGGTGGTGGTGGTGGTGACGGTGGTGGCGTTGGTGGTGGCGCTGGTGGTGACGGTGGTGGTGGTGGTGGTGGTGATGGTGGTGGTGGTGGTGGTGGTGACGGTGGTGGTGGTGGTGGTGAAGGTGGTGGTGACGGTGGTGGTGGTGGTGGTGACGGTGGTGGTGGTGGTGGTGAAGGTGGTGGTGACGGTGACGGTGGTGGTGACGGTGGTGGTGGTGGTGGTGACGGTGACGGTGGTGGTGACGGTGACGGTGGTGGTGACGGTGACGGTGGTGGTGACGGTGGTGGTGGTGGTGGTGGTGGTGACGGTGACGGTGGTGGTGACGGTGACTGTGGTGGTGACGGTGACGGTGGTGGTGGTGGTGGTGGTGACGGTGGTGGTGACGTTGGTGACGTTGGTGGTGGTGGTGGGTGTTGGCAGGCGTGGCAGTGGCGCACTTCCTGCAGAGCGTGTGGGGGGGGCTGGCGCTGGGCGGGGAGCTCGTGCTGCACCGGCACGCCGGCACCCACGGGGCCATCCTCACGGCCGCGGGGCGCTACACCGGTACACGCACCACTCACGTACACACACGCACACACACACGTACACACGCACCGCACACACACACACGCACACACACATACACCACTCACGTACACACAAACACGTACACGCACACACGCACACACACACCACTCATGTACACCGCACGCACCACTCACGTACACACACCGCTCACGTACACACACGTACACACACCACACACGTACACACACGTACACACACCACACACGTACACACACCGCTCACGTACACACACGTACACACACACACACGTACACACACACACGGCACTCACGTACACATGTACACACGGCACTCACGTACACACACGCACCACTCACGTACACACACGCACCACTCACGTACACACACACATGCACACACGCACCACCCACACACGCACCGCACTCACGCACCGCACTCACGAACCACACGCACACCACTCACGTACACACGCCCACCCACACCCACACCGCGTGTCCCCCGCGTGTCTCTCTCTGGCGGGCACCGCGTGTGTGTGTGTGTCTGTGTGTGTGCGTGTGTGTGTGTGTACGCGCGTGTGTGTACGCGCGTGTGTGTGTGTGTCTGTGTGTGTGCGTGTGTGTGTGTGTACGTGTGTGTGTGTGCGTGTGTGTACGCGCGTGTGTGTACGCGCGTGTGTGTGTGTGTCTGTGTGTGTGCGTGTGTGTGTGTACGTGTGTGTGTGTGCGTGTGCGTGTGTGTACGCGCGTGTGTGTACGCGCGTGTGTGTGTGTGTCTGTGTGTGTGCGTGTGTGTGTGCGTGCGTGTGTGTGCGTGCGTGTGTGCGTGTGCGTGTAGGAGAGAACTGGGTGGCGACGCTGAACGTGGGCCAGGGCGGTGCGCACGCCAGCTACTACCACAGGGCCAACCGCCAGGTACGGCACCCGCCACGTCGCCGCGTCGCCACGGCGACGGGGGCCTCGGTGCGCCGCCTGCCCCACGCACGGCACTTGGCCCGGCGGCGCGGGCAGGCTACGGGGGGGACCTTTGCCTGCGTGTGCGTGAGGGGCGCAGGTGCAGGTGGGGGTGGAGTTCGAGGCGAGCACGCGGACGCGCGAGAGCAGCTTCTCGTTCGCCTACCAACTCACCCTGCCGCGCACCAGCACCGTGTTCAGAGGTGCTCACTCACTCACTCGCTCACTCACTCACTCGCTCGCTCACCAGCTCGCTCACCAGCTCGCTCACCAGCTCGCTCACCAGCTCGCTCACCAGCTCGCTCACCAGCTCACTCACTCACTAGCTCGCTCACCAGCTCGCTCACCAACTCACGCACTCACTCACTAGCTCGCTCACCAGCTCACTCACTCACTAGCTCGCTCACCAGCTCACTCACTCACCAGCTCGCTCACCAGCTCACTCACTCACACACCAGCTCACTCACTCACCAGCTCACTCACCAGCTCACTCACTCACTTGCTCACTCACTCACCAGCTCACTCACTCACTCGCTCACTAACTCACTCGCTCACCAGCTCGCTCACCAGCTCACTCACTCGCTCGCTCACCAGCTCACTCGCTCACCAGCTCGCTCACCAGCTCACTCACTCACTCACTCACCAACTCACTCACTCACCAGCTCACTCGCTCACTCACTCGCTCACTCACCAACTCACGCTGCCGCGCACCAGCACCGTGTTCAGAGGTGCTCGCTCACCAGCTCACTCACTCACCAGCTCGCCAGCTCACTCACTCGCTCGCTCACCAGCTCACTCACTCACCAGCTCACTCACTCACCAGCTCACTCACTCACTCACTCGCTCACCAGCTCACTCACCAGCTCGCTCACTCACTCACTCGCTCACTCGCTCACTCACTCACTCATTAGCTCGCTCACCAGCTCGCTCACCAGCTCGCTCGCTCACTCACCAACTCATGCTGCCACGGACCAGCACCGTGTTCAGAGGTGCTCACTCACTCACTCACCAGCTCACTCACCAGCTCACTCACCAGCTCACTCACCAGCTCACCAGCTCGCTCACCAGCTCGCTCACCAGCTCACTCACTCACTCGCTCACCAGCTCGCTCACTCACTCACTAGCTCGCTCACTCACTCGCTCACTCACTCACTCGCTCACTCACTAGCTCGCTCACCAGCTCACTCACCAGCTCGCTCACCAGCTCGCTCACCAGCTCGCTCACCAGCTCGCTCACCAGCTCACTCACTCACTCACTCGCTCACTAGCTCGCTCACCAGCTCGCTCACCAGCTCGCTCACTCACCAGCTCGCTCACCAGCTCACTCACTCACTCGCTCACCAGCTCGCTCACTCACCAGCTCGCTCACCAGCTCACTCACTCACTCGCTCACCAGCTCGCTCACCAGCTCACTCACTCACTCCCTCGCTCACCAGCTCGCTCACTCACCAGCTCGCTCACCAGCTCACTCACCAGCTCGCTCACCAGCTCGCTCACTCACTCACTCACTCACCAGCTCGCTCACTCACCAGCTCGCTCACCAGCTCACTCGCTCACTCACCAACCCGGTGGGGGGGGTGGTGGTGGTGGTGGTTGTGGTGGTTGTGGTTGTGGTGGTGGTTGTGGTGGTTGTACCAGCGTGTGCCGACACTAACTGTGTGGTGGTGGTTGTTGTGGTGGTTGTGGTGGTTGTGCCAGCATGTGCCGACACTAACTGTGTGGTGGTGGTGGTTGTGGTGGTTGTGGTGGTTGTGCCAGCGTGTGCCGACACTAACTGTGTGGTGGTGGTTGTTGTGGTGGTTGTGGTGGTTGTACCAGCGTGTGCCGACACTAACTGTGTGGTGGTGGTGGTTGTGGTGGTTGTGGTGGTTGTGGTGGTTGTGCCAGCGTGTGCCGACACTAACTGTGTGGTGGTGGTGGTTGTGGTGGTTGTGGTGGTTGTACCAGCGTGTGCTGACAGTAACTGTGTGGTTGTGGTGGTTGTGGTGGTTGTGGTGGTGGTTGCGCCAGCGTGTGCCGACAGCAACTGGGTGGTTGGTGCGGTGCTGGAGAGGCGACTGCGGCCGCTACCGCTCACGCTGGCGCTCGGAGCCTTCCTGAGCCACCGCCGGAGCCGCTTCCAGTGCGGCTTCAGCCTCACCGCCGGGTGAACCGCAACAACCACGACAACCACAACCACAACCACCACAACCAACTCAACCACCACCAACCCAACCACAACAACAGCAACAACAACCACAACAACCACAACCAAGTCAACCACCACCAACCCAACCGCCACCACCACCGCCGCTTCCGGCTCAGCTTCAGCCTCACCGCCGGGTGAACCGCAACAACCACAGCAACAACAACCACAACAACCACAGCAACAACAACCACAACAACCACAACCAAGTTAACCACCACAACCGCTTCCGGCATGGCTTCCGCCTCACCGCCGGGTGAACCACAACCACCACGACCACCGCTACCACCGCAACCACTTATCAAATCTCCCACCATCAGAACCACCACCATCGCCACTCCAACCATCAATTAGAATCACCCCCATCAACAACAGCATCTACACCGCTACCACCACCAACACCACCACCAACATTCTAGATTTGAAGCTTTCGCGACTGCAAAGATTCATACTCTTGGGTTTTTTCGGTAAAGTCACGTAGGTGAAAATATTAAAATAAATAATAAAATTAATAAACAAACATAAGATCCAAGTCCGATTCAGTACAGCACATAAAATCCGTGATCTAATCCCATCTGTGAAGATGTCATCCCTGACTTGCAATACCCTGGAGTCTACAAACTTAGTTGCAGCTGTGGTGACTTACATTGGGGAAACGAAACTGTCATGTCTCTGATCGTGTCCGCGAGCACAAGTCAGATCTGAAACACGGCAAAATTGAGTCTTCCGCCGTTGCCGATCATTGCCACAACGCTGTGGGCTCTCATGATATTGTCTTTTCCGAGACCAAGGTGCTCTGCAAACCCTCTGGCTACCATCAGAGGTTTGTAGACGAAGCCATACAGATATACAAACACAGACATGGCTTCAACCGTGATGATGGGTAGAAACTGTGTAATCATTGGAAACATGTTATTAACCATGTATAACAGATTTCCACGGGTTCAGTTCTGAGTGGACCAGGGAGCCACTTGAAGGAGAATGGGTCTCAGAGGTAGTTCTGTGATGTCCACTTGCATGGGCCATTGAAGGAGAACCACTTACTCTGAACATTAACATAATTTATCACTCATTATGCGGCGGATTCCTCGACCTTTGGTTGTCCTGTACATTAACATAATTTATCCTTCGTTTTCCCGGTGTAGCGCGCACGGCCGAACGCTTCCCCCGTCCCGGGATGAGACCGCTCGCTCTGCCTTCCGTGTCCCCGTGCGTGCGTCTGTCTGTGTGTGTGTGCGTCTGTGTGTGTATGTGTGTCTGTCTGTGTGTGTGTCTGTGTGTGTGTGTGTCTGTGTGTGTGTGCGTCTGTGTGTGTGTGTGTCTCTGTGTGTGTCTGTGTGTGTGTCTCTGTGTGTGTGTTTGTGTGTCACTGTGTGTGTGTCTGTGTGTGCGTCTGTCTCTGTGTGTCTGTGTGTGTGTCTGTGTGTGTGTTTGTGTGTCACTGTGTGTGTCTGTGTGTTTGTGTCTGTGTGTGTGTGTCTGTGTGTGTGCGTCTGTGTGTCTGTCTGTGTGTGTGTCCGTCTCTGTGTGTGTGTGTGCGTCTGTGTGTCTGTCTGTGTGTGTGTGTCTGTGTGTGTCTGTGTGTGTGTCTGTTTCTGTGTGTTTGTGTCCGTCTCTGTGTGTGTGTGTCTGTGTGTGTGTGTGTGTGTCTGTGTGTCTCTGTGTGTCTGTGTGTGTGTGGGGAGCGGTGGTGTAGCGGTTAGCGTGACGCTGCGCTACGAATCCGGCGCCCCGAGTTCGATTCCCGTTCACGCCCAACACCAGTGACGATTACCTGAACCGGTTCTGGGCCTCCCCTAGGTTGACTCAGCCTCGAATGAGTACCTGGTGCAGTGGGTAAAACATCGCCCCTGGGGGAGACAAAGGCGGTCGGGCTTGGCGCTGCCCCCCCCCACCCCCTTGTGTACCGTCCCAGCCTTTATAGGTGCTCGCTAACAGCACTTGCTCTTACAGTCTGTCCAGGCTACATGGGGGATCTTTGTCTGTGTATCTGTCTGTGTCTGTGTGAGTCTCGAGGGGAGCGGTGGCGCTGTGGTTAACGCACCGCACCACGAACCCGGCGACCCGAGTGAGAAGATTTCCGCTCACGACCAAAAAACACAGTGCCGAATATTCTAACCGGTCCTGGGCTTTCCCCTAGGTCGACTCAGCCTTAAATGAGTAGCTGGTGCGGTGTTATTGTAAACATCGCCACTGGGGAGACAACGGTGGCCGGGCGTGGTGCTGGCCACCCACCCCCTCGTGTGCTGTGCCTGCCTTAATAGGTGCTCGCTAACAGCACTTGCCCCCGCAGTCTGTGTAGGCTATACGGTGGTGAAGCCATCCCCCAGTTCGATTCACGGAGAACAGTGACGACTGTCGAAAACCGAGCCATCTCCCCCCGGGTCAACTCAGCCTTAAATGAGCATCTGGTTCAGTGTGTCAGCGTCGCTACTGTGGAGACAAAGGCGGTCCGGCCTGCCCAGGTGCGCGGTGGGCAGCTCTTGGCGTCCCCCTGGCGATGGACTTGTGGACGTTCTCCGACCCGTTCTTCCTCGTGTCTTGTTTGGGGGGGGGGGGGGGGGGGTTTCCGAGCGGCGCCGAGATGTTTGTAAAAGTCGTTTTGAATAAAATAACCACGCGACCAACCAACCCGCCTCAGCCACTTGGCAACAATGTCTTGCGTGTGAGACACCAACCCTCGCCGCTGCTGCTGCCTCCACATCGCTGGGTTACAGGCAGCCACCTGCAACAGCGGAGCAGAGGTCGCAACCGGGTAGCCGATACCCGTACCCTACCCGATACCCGGCTACCCGTACCCGGCCGGGTACCCGTTTGCGACCCTGGTGCGGCCAGGTACGGGTAGGCCGTGAGTCACTGGTGAGTAACTGTTTGTCACTCATTTCGCAACGTCTTGTCTCTTCTCACAATTCAAGTTCCTAGAATCAACCCACCCGCGCTTGCAACATGGCTTCATCCCAGAGGTCGCAATCGGATACCCGTACCCTACCCGAAATGGGTACCTGATACCCGTACCCGGCCGGGTACGGGTACCCGTTTGCGACCCTGGTGCAGCCGGGTACGGGTAAGGAATCAAAACCCGTTTGCGACCTCTGCAGCGGAGTCACCAGATTTGTGTCACCAGACCCTCCGCCACCCGACCACAGCCAAAGGAATGAAATTGACACGTGCTGTGCCGCAGATTCACAACGCGCCAGGCCACTTCCGGTGCTGTGCAACCAATTTCCGGTGTTGTGATTACGACTTCCGGTTTTGTGGTTCTAACTTCCGGTGCTGTGATTCCAATTTCCGGTGTTGTGATTCCGACTTCCGGTTTTGTGATTCTAACTTCCGGTGCTGTGATTACGATTTCCGGTTTTGTGTTCCCGACTTCCAGTGTAGTTCTCCCCGAAGTCGCTCCACGCAGTTGAGTGAAACTTCGCGACATTTGCTGCTAAATCCGACTGAGGATGATTCAACTCGCCAGTGGATGGGTGAGTGAGGAGAGGCTGAGTGAGTGGGTGGGTGAGTGGGTGAGTGGGTGGGTGAGTGGGTGAGTGGGTGGGTGAGTGGGTGAGTGGGTGGGTGGGTGAGTGAGGAGAGCTGAGTGAGTGGGTGGGTGAGTGGGTGGGTGGGTGAGTGAGGAGAGGCTGAGTGAGTGGGTGGGGTGAGTGGGTGAGTGGGTGGGTGAGTGGGTGGGTGGGTGAGTGAGGAGAGGCTGAGTGAGTGGGTGGGTGGGTGGGTGGGTGAGTGAGGAGAGGCTGAGTGAGTGGGTGGGTGGGTGAGTGGTGGGTGGGTGAGTGAGGAGAGGCTGAGTGAGTGGGTGGGTGAGTGGGTGGGTGAGGGGTGGGTGGGTGAGTGGGTGGGTGGGTGGGTGAGTGGGTGGGTGGGTGAGTGGGTGGGTGGGTGAGTGGGTGGGTGGGTGGGTGGGTGAGTGGGTGGGGTGGGTGGGTGGGGTGGGTGGGTGGGTGAGTGGGTGGGGTGGGTGAGTGGGTGAGTGGGTGGGTGGGTGGGTGAGTGGGTGGGTGGGTGGGTGGTGGGTGGGTGGTGAGTGGGTGGGTGGTGGTGGGTGGGTGAGTGGGTGGGTGGGTGGGTGGGTGAGTGGGTGGGTGGGTGGGTGAGTGGGTGGGTGGGTGGGTGGGTGGGTGGGTGGGTGGGTGGGTGGGTGGGTGGGTGGGTGGGTGGGTGGGTGGGTGAGTGGGTGGGTGGGTGGGTGGGTGGGTGGGTGGGTGGGTGGGTGATGGGTGGGTGGGTGGGTGGGTGGAGTGGGGGTGGGTGGTGGGTGGGTGAGTGGGTGGGTGGGTGGGTGGGTGGGTGAGTGGGTGGGTGGGGTGGGTGGTGGAGTGGGTGGGTGGGTGGGTGGGTGGGTGGGTGGGTGAGTGGGTGGGTGGGTGGTGGGTGGGTGGGTGGGTGAGTGGGTGGGTGGTGGGTGAGTGGGTGGTGGGTGGGTGGGTGGGTGAGTGGGTGGGTGGGTGGTGAGTGGGTGGGTGGGTGAGTGGGTGGGTGGGTGGGTGAGTGGGTGGGGGGTGGGTGGGTGAGTGGGTGGGTGGGTGGGTGAGTGGGTGGGTGGGTGGGTGAGTGGGTGGGTGGGTGGGTGGGTGGGGTGGTAGTGAGTGGTGAGTGGGTGGGTGGGTGGGTGAGTGAGTGGTGGGTGGGTGGGGGTGGGTGAGTGAGGTGAGTGGGTGGGTGGGTGGGTGAGTGGGTGGGTGGGTGGGTGAATGGGTGAGGTGCTGAATGAGAAGATGAGTGGGTAGGTGAGTGTGAGGCTGAGTGAGTGGGTAGGTGAGTGAGTGGGTGAGTGAGAAGGTGAGTGGGTAGGTGAGTGTGAGGTTGAGTGAGAAGGTGAGTGAGTGAGACGGTGATTGGGTCAGAGGCTGAATGAGAAGGTGGGTGGGTGGGGTGAGTGAGACGGTGAGTGGGTAGGTGAGTGAAGTGGGTGAGTGAGTGGGTGAGTGAGTGAGTGAGACGGTGATTGGGTCAGAGGCTGAATGAGAAGGTGGGTGGGTGAGTGAGACGGTGAGTGGGTAGGTGAGTGAGTGGGTGAGTGGGTGAGTGAGTGGGTGAGTGAGTGAGTGAGTGAGACGGTGGGTGAGTGGTTGAGTGAGACGGTGAGTGAGTGAGTGAGACACTGGGTGAGTGAGACGGTGGGTGGTTGAGTGAGTGAGTGGGTGAATGAGTGAGTGAGACGGTGAGTGGGTGGGTGAGTGAGACGGTGGGTGGTTGAGTGAGTGAGTGGGTGAGTGAGAAGGTTGGGTGGGTGAGTGAGACGGTGAGTGTGCGAGTGAGTGAGACGGTGAGTGGGTGAGTGAGACGGTGAGTGAGTGAGACGGTGGGTGAGTGGGTGAGTGTGAGACGGTGGGTGAGTGAGTGAGTGAGACGGTGAGACGGTGAGTGAGTGAGACGGTGGGTGAGTGAGTGAGTGAGACGGTGAGTGTGCGAGTTGACCAAAAAGCACCGTGCGACGATTCCATCTGCGTCGGGTGGCGGAGGGCGCTCTCAACGACAACACAAACCGACCCGTCCCTACCAACCCGACAGCTTTCACCGCACGGAACACCACCACCAGCACCACCAAGTAGCATCGTCACACAACGCGTTTATTTGGGGTCGTATCATTCTCAATTAACATTCACGACTTTGCCACCTTCTCAATAACACTGAACGAGTCCCCCACCCACCCCCCCACACACCCCACACATCGTCTTCGTCCACAGCCGGCGGCTGCGTAGGGACAGCTGCCGCTGGGGACGCTTCGGGTCGTGTGGGGGTGGTGGGGGGTGGTGGTGGTGGTGGTGTGGGTGGTGGTGTGGGTGGTGGTCGATTGAGATCGCCGTGAAACTTAAATGGAAGCGAAGTGTCACGGATACCCCCCCCCCCCCCCGGCGTCTTGCGGTCCTACCCTGTGGGTGCATTCGCCGCGTGTGGCGAGTCTGTGGGTGGTGTGTGTGGGTGTCTGTGGGTGGTGTCTGTGGGTGTCTGTGGGAGTCTGTGGGTCTCTCCGCGTGTGAGTGGTGTGTGTGTGTGGTGTGTGTGGTTTATGGGAGTCTGTGGGTCTCTCCGCGTGTCTGTGGTGTGTGTGTGTGGTGCGAGTGGTGTGAGTGAGGAGTCTAGTGGTGCTTGGACTCCACGTACGCCTGGTACATCTTGCTGACGTTCTCGCGGATCTTGTGCAGGTACGGGGTCAGCACGGCCACCGTGTCGGTGTACAGGCTCCTGCGCGCACACACGTGGAGACACACGGAGACGCACGTGGAGACAGAGACACGTGGAGACACACGGAGACGCACGTGGAGACAGAGACACACGTGGAGACACACGGAGACGCACGTGCAGACACACGGAGACGCACGTGGAGACACACGGAGACGCACGTGGAGACGCACGGAGACACACGTGGAGACACACGGAGACGCACGTGCAGACACACGGAGACACACGTGGAGACAGAGACACGTGGAGACGCACGTGGAGACACACGGAGACGCACGTGGAGACGCACGGAGACACACGTGGAGACAGAGACACGTGGAGACGCACGTGGAGACACACGGAGACGCACGTGGAGACAGAGACACGTGGAGACACACGGAGACGCACGTGGAGACAGAGACATGGAGACAGAGACGGACGTGGAGACAGAGACACACGGAGATGATGGTGCTGCTGCTGTTGGTGGTGGTGGTGCTGATGGTGATGATGGTGATGATGGTGGTGATGATGATGATGGTGCTGCTAGTGATGGTGATGGTGGTGATGATGATGGTGCCGATGGTGATGATGATGGTGATGATGATGGTGATGGTGGTGATGATGATGGTGCTAGTGGTGATGGTGCTAGTGGTGGTGGTGCTAGTGGTGGTGGTGCTGCTGGTGCCGTGCTGGTGCTCACTTTGCGTGCTCGCCGATGTTGGAGGTCTGCAGGCCGTGCACCATCTTCTTGAACTCGGCGGACACGTTCTTGAAGCCCTCCCAGAACGCGTCGGGGAAGAGTTGGGCCTTCACCACCGCCGTGTCGGACATCGCCTTGGGCGCGGCCTCGGACCCTGCGGGAGGGGGGGGTACGGAACGTCGGACGATCACGACGAAGCCCATACCCTCGCGCGTACGCATACCTATCAACCCCTTATCAGTGCCGTATGGGTTGACAGCTATGTAGCTCTGTGGGGTCTCTGTGGGTCTTTGTGGGTCTCTGTGTATCTCTGTGGGTCTCTGTGTGGTCTCTGTGGGTCTCTGTGTGGTCTCTGTGGGTCTCTGTGGGTCTCTGTATCTCTGTGGATCTCTGTATCTCTGTGTATCTCTGTGAGTCTCTGTGTGTCTCTGTGTGTATCTGTGGGTCTCTGTGAGTCTCTGTGTATCTCTGTGAGTCTCTGTGGGTCTCTGTGTATCTGTGAGTCTCTGTGGGTCTCTGGGTCTCTGTGGGTCTCTGTGGGTCTCTGTGTATCTCTGTGTGGCCTCTGTGGGTCTCTGGGTTACTCGGAGGAGCAGCAGCAGCAGGGTGAGCGAGCGAGGGAGCGAGGGAGATGGGGGCGCGTGTGTCGATGAAGCGTGTGTGGGTGAAGTGTGTGTGAAGTGTGCCCATCGTGTCGAGCGGCGAGCGAACCTGCAGCCAGGATGCAGACGACGGCGAGAGTCGCCAGGGCAGCCACGTGGAGCTTCATCTTCTTGCTGTTGCTGTTGGGGGGTTGGTGGCCGGAGCGAGGTACCTGCTGAGCACACCCAACAACAACAACAACAAAGATCCCCCGTGTAGCCTCAACAGACTGCTGGGGCAAGTGCTGTTAGCGAGCACCTACGAAGGCCGGCACGGCACACGAGGGGGTGGGTGGCTAGCACCACGCCCGGCCGCCTTTGTCTCCCCGGTGGCGATGTTCACTACGCACCGCACCAGGTACTCATTTGAGGCCGAGTCGACCTAGGGGAGGCTCCGGACCGATTCAGATAATCGTCACCGGTGTTGGCCGTGAGCAGCGCGCCAAAGCACTGCACCGCAGGGTCGGGATCGAACCCACGACTTCCTGCACGCCAGGCGAGGTAGTCAACATCTCTTAGCCACCGTGATGATGATGATGAGAGAGAGACTCAAACTCCACATCTACAGCAGCAGGCATCGTCAGGGTCTGGTTTGAATCCACGATCTCCTGCGTACCAGGCGAGGTAGTTAACATCTCCTAGCCACCGTGATGATGATGATGATGAGAGAGACACCAGGCGAGGGAGTTAACATCTCCTAGCCACCGTGATGATGATGATGAGAGACACCAGGCGAGGTAGTTAACATCTCCTAGCCACCGTGATGATGATGATGAGAGAGACACCGGGCGAGGTAGTCAACATCTCCTAGCCACCGTGATGATGATGAGAGAGAGAGACACCAGGCGAGGTAGTTAACATCTCCTAGCCACTGTGATGATGAGAGAGAGAGACACCAGGCGAGGTAGTTAACATCTCCTAGCCACTGTGATGATGAGAGAGAGAGACACCAGGCGAGGTAGTTAACATCTCCTAGCCACTGTGATGATGAGAGAGAGAGACACCAGGCGAGGTAGTTAACATCTCCTAGCCACTGTGATGATGATGATGATAGAGAGACACCGGGCGAGGTAGTTAACGTCTCGTGACTCCCCAAGAATGTTCAAGTGTACAGGCTGTCCAGAGCACTCTCAGGGGTTTCGGCTGCAGTCTGGGCGGGTTTCCACCGTCTGGGTCTCATCAGCAGAGCTGGCAAGAGGACTCCGCTTAAACTGCGGGTCACTGTGTGAGTGGTGGTGGAGCTGAGTTTGAGTGTCTGTGTGAGTGTGTGTGAGTGTGTGTGTCTCTGTGTGAGTCTGTGTGTGAGTCTGTGTGTGAGTCTGTGTGTGTGAGTCTGTGTATGAGTGTGAGTGAGTGGTGGTGGAGCCGTGTGAGTGTGTGTCTGTGAATGTGAGCCTGTGAGTGTGAGTCTGTGTGTGAGTGAGTGAGTGGTGGTGGAGCCGTGTGTGTCTGTGTGTGAGTGTGAGTGAGTCTGAGTTGGAGCCGTGTGAGTGTCGGTGTGTGTGAGTGTGTGTGAGTGAGTGTGAGTTTGGAGCCGTGTGTGAGTGTGTGTGTGTGAGTGTGAGTTGGAGTGAGTGAGTGTGAGTTGGAGCCGTGTGAGTGAGTGAGAGTGAGTGAGTGTGAGTGAGTGTGAGTTGGAGCCGTGTGAGTGTGAGCGAGAGGCACTCACCACGTGGCTGAGAGAGTGGAGGAGGTGAGTGATGCCGACTCTGGGAGGCTCTCCCTTATATACACGCACTCGCAGGCGCGCACACACCCACACGCACACACGCACACACACACGCACGCACGCACACACGCACACGCACTGGCAGACCTACAAAGAGCGCACACACGAGACTGGCACACACGGGACTGGCACACGTGCAAAGGCGGACACACACACGCACACACACACGGGCGCACACACACGGGCGCACACACACACACGCACTGGCAAACGTGCAAGCACACGCACTGTGACACACAAAGACAAAGGTCCCACGCGTGGCCTTTCGCGCTCTGCTGGGGCAAAGTGCGGTTCGCGGCGCCTTCACGTTCGACACGGGGGGGGGGGGCTAGCACCACGCCCGGCCGCCTTTGTCTCACACACACAAAGACAAAGATCCCCCGTGTAGCCTTAACAGAATATAGGGGCAAGTGCTGTTAGCGAGCACCTATGAAGGCCGGAACGGTACACGAGGGGGTGGGTGGCCATCACCACGCCCGACCGCCTTTGTCTCCCCAGTGGCGATGTTTACACACCGCACCAGGTACTCATTTGAGGCCGAGTCGACCTAGGGGAGGCCCAGGACCGGTTCAGATAATCGTCACTGGTGTTTGCCGTGAGCGGGAATCGAACCCGGGTCGCCAGGTTCGTAGTGCAGCGTAGCGCTAACCGCTACACTACCGCTCCCCACACACACACGTACACACACACACGCGTAAGTAGAACTTCCTTCGCACCGTACGTAGCCAACTGCTAATCGGAGGTGCGGGGGAAGGACCACAAACTAAACACGACAAGCAGAAGAGGAGGAGGAGGCAGTTCTCCAGAGATGAGATTTCAGCACCGCTGATAATCCCACGAAGATGAAATCAGGGATTGCAACGGGTGAGCAGTGAGTGGAGTGGTGAGTGAGTGGGGTGGTGGTGAGCTTCATGTCATCTCGGCCAGTCAATGACCTCCCTAATGGAACATCTTCGCCGGTTAGAAACATTGAGGCTGGCCTGCCTACGATCCATCCTGGGTTTAACCTGCAGGCTGGATTGTGTGAGCTCACAAATCCTCGAAAGATGTGGACAAAGTCCCATCGGTGAGCTCCTCCGGCAGGCAAGGCTGCGTTGGCTGGGTCATGTAGCCCGCATGCCCAGCCACCGCATGCCTAAACAGCTTTTGTTCGGCCGGATCGAGGGGGCTAAACGGGCGCGGCACGGGCTAGAGAAGAGATGGAGTGATGTGGTACAGCAGGACGTGGAGCTGAGTGGACTTGCCGATGGCCGGTACCAGCGGTGTCAAGATCGGCCTCTGTGGAGGAGGCTCGTGAAGGACGCTACTGGGCAGTTGGAGGCAGTCGCCCTCCAACAACAACGGAGGGCGGAGGAGCGATGCTCACAACAACGAGCGGAGCACCGGGCAACTAAAGTGAAGCAAGTTGGCACAGTAGGGGACACAGGTGGTGGTTATCTACCGGTCACCTCAGTCAGCCAACCCACGGCACCTGCAGGGTCTGTCCCGAGACCTCCTGTCAGCATTGAGCCTTCGACACTTCACGTGACGGCCTCAAAGTGCACCTAGCCTGGCACAGGCGCCGTGGTGACGTCAACGCCACTTAGTGGCGAATGACGATTCTTGGTATTGGTGAGAGTGTGGGGTGAGTGTGGGGTGGGGGTGGTGGTGAGTGTGGGGCGAGTGTGGGGTGAGTGTGGGGTGAGTGTGGGGTGAGTGTGGGTGAGTGTGGGTGAGTGTGGGGTGAGTGGGGGGTGAGTGTGGGGTGAGTGGGGGGTGAGTGTGGGGTGAGTGGGGGTGAGTGGGGTGGTGGTGAGTGTGGAGTGAGTGTGTGGTGAGTGTGTGGTGAGTGAGTGTGGGGTGAGTGTGTGGTGAGTGTGGGGTGGGGGTGGTGGTGAGTGTGGGGCGAGTGTGGGGTGAGTGTGGGGTGAGTGTGGGGTGAGTGTGGGTGAGTGTGGGTGAGTGTGGGGTGAGTGGGGGGTTAGTGGGGTGAGTGGGGGGTGAGTGTGGGGGTGAGTGGGGTGAGTGGGGTGGTGGTGAGTGTGGAGTGAGTGTGTGGTGAGTGTGTGGTGAGTGAGTGTGGGGTGAGTGTGGGGTGTGGTGGTGGT